CTCACTGCTCCCCCTCACTGCTCCCCTCCCCCCACTGCTCCCCCCCCCTCACTGCTCCCCCTCATGCTCCCCCCCTCACTGCTCCCCCTCACTGCTCCCCCTCCCCCCCTCCACTGCTCCCCCCTCTCACTGCCCCCCCTCACTGCTCCCCCCCCTCACTGCTCCCTCCCCCCCCACTGCTCCCCTCCCCCCCCACTGCTCCCCCCCCTCACTGCTCCCCCCTCACTGCTCCCCCCCTCCTCACTGCTCCCCCCCCTACTGCTCCCCCCCTCACTGCTCCCCCCCTCACTGCTCCCCCCCCCTCACTGCTCCCCCCCCACTGCTCCCCTCCCCCCTCACTGCCCCCCCTCACTGCCCCCCCCCACTGCTCCCCCCTCTCACTGCTCCCCCCCCTCACTGCTCCCCCTTACCCCCCTCTCACTCCCCCCCTCACTGCATTTCACCCCGCGCTGCTCCCCCCCCCTCCCAGGCTCTGTGACCCCCATCGCCCCCATCCTCGCCCGACTCCACTGTCTTCCCATCACACAGAGGATACAGTTCAAGATGCTGGTCCTCACCTTAAAGCCCTCCATGGCCTCACCCCCCCGACCTCTGCCCCCACTCACCCCGACCCCTAACCCGCTCCCCCCGACCTCTGCCCCCACTCACCCCGACCCCTAACCCGCTCCCCCGACCCCTAACCCGCTCCCCCCGACCCCTAACCCGCTCCCCCCCGACCTCTCCCTCCCACTCATTAACCCCATTATATTCCTCATTACCCCCCCCACCTCCACTGCTCCCACCCCACTGCCCCCCTTTATTTATCCCCCCTCACTGCTCCCTTATTTACCCCCTCTCTCTGCTCCCCTCATCAATGCCCAATCCTCCTCGTCGCCTCAGTGCTGTAAACCCGACACAGTGTGCAAGAAATGAGGTCTGACAGTGTTTCTAAATCCCGGTTCGTGTCCACCCGATGGTCCAGCGCCCTGGGACATCTTTCCGACGTGAAGGGCGCTACGCAAGTGTAATTTGTTGTTGTTGTTGTTGAACAGGCAGCCGGTACCTTGGTTCAACATCTCGGCCAAATTCCAAACAACGCAGCGCGCTCCCAGTATTGCGCCGTTCGCTCAGCAAACTCGGGCACATCACCATCCTCGCTTGGCTCCACTGGGCTCCCCAACCCATTTCGCCATCTCACTGTCGCCCACAATGTCGAGTCGACCAACTCTACAGTTTACCCCGTGAAGCGCTTTGAAGCGTTTTGCTGACCTGATAAGATGCCGCATCGAATGCAAGGATTATTGTTACAGCAAAACTCGCATAAGTCTTATCTTTATAAATCGTGCGATTGCCAAAGTCGTACATGCACCTGAGTCCCGTTCAGTTTCCTATCAAAACCCCTTAGAATGCTTCCCACCAGTTGCGTTAATCACCTCCTAACTCGTAACGCCACTCCTCTACCGTCCATTTCTCCCGCAATTAACGGTTGAGTTGACCAACAAGAAATGATGTCCTGACCCGTCGACGCGTGCACAGTTACCGGCTGCACTGAATTACAGATTGAGTGTAGATTATTGTTTTTGTTGTTGTTTGTACGACTTATTACAAGCTTTGTCTGCAACTCGGATTTCTCGTAAGTCATATTACACGTAATGGTCCCGACTGATACGACTTATGTGAGTTTTACTGTATTGGTCAGTTATTTTTTTTTTAGAACAACAACGGCAAATGACATTTACACAGCGCCTCTCACGTCGGGAGGGCTCTGGAGAGTCAAGGATTTGCCCCCGAGCTGGGGGTTGGGGTCAGGAGTAGGGTGGAGGGCAGAGAGGGTAGGGGAGGAGGGTGACCGAACTGTTCTAGTGAAAGCGAGCGTCATATACCCCGACCAGTTGTGCTCGTTGCCTCCAGCGATTCTCACCCAGCGCTGTCAGCCACAAACGTGGGTCTGAATCTCACTGTTTCTCAGGTTACGGGCCTCCCGAGTGTTGCTGGTTGGGATGAAGGGCCTTGGAGCTGAAGTGGCCAAAAACCTTATTCTGGCTGGAGTCAAGGCATTGACTCTGCTCGATCATCAGCAGGTGAGTGGCAGTCTTTTCGACGGAGATTTGACGTTCAATTTCAATGTTCCTCAGCCTCACCCTGCAAACCCCTTCATTTTCTAGCTCAGACATTGATGGAGAGAGAGAGAGAGCAGGGGAATGGGGTTACAGTAGAGAGCTCCAGTGGGGGAGCGAGCAACAGCGCAGACAAGATGGGGCGAGAGAGAGAGAGAGAGAGCAGGGTATGGGGTATAGAGTAGAGAGCTCCAGTGGGGGAGCGAGCACTTCTGAAAGCAGCTATATCTCCCTCTTAATTGCAGATTTCCTCAAGCCTCTATCCCTTGTTATACCCGTCTTGAAACCCACATTGGACTCTGCCGGTGTGACTTATCCTCAGCGGCAGTTTGATTTGACTGTTGCCCGCTCCTCTCTGGAGTATCTGAGGGCAAGGGACTGCCTGCTGCGTCCTGTCCTAAAGCTAAAAGGATTGTCAAGCGTCAAAGAGATTGAGCGATGCTCTGATCCCACACTAGGTGGTGCCTTTGGTTTAATGATGAGCCGTTCAGAGCCCACAAGCATACCCAGGTCTCATTGTTTCAAACAAAACCAGCTACGGGCTGCTCGCGGGACACTGCTGTGCGCGGTTGTCTGCCGCGTTTCGCCCACAAATGCGCAGTCAATCCACTTTACACTATACTGTCTTCAGTGCAGCACTTTGAGACGTCGCCACGTAGGTGATGAATCGCGATACCAAATGCACAAAGACTTTCCCAACAATGCAATGGAGTTTCCACTATAAAAAAAACTATAAACTCAAAGCCCCAATATAGAGCTTGAAGACCCACCCTCGGTGGTTAGAGCACTCGCCTCGCAAGCGAAGTTGGGCAAGTTTCCTTACTCCACACGCCTCTGTTTACCCAGCAGTAAGTAGGAATCCGGTTGCTAGTCGATTAGTGGATCACTTTTCCGGGGTAATAATTGATGTTTTTAAAAAAAATAATAAATTGGTCACTCGATCCAAGATTGTTTGTGGGACGCTGCTGCTGTATCCTGTGAAGCGCTTTGAGGCGTCTCGAAGATGTGATCAGGCGCTGGATCAATGCAAGGATTATTATTATTATTATCTGACCAATAGGCGAGCGTACTACCAAACTGACAGCTGAGGTGGATTGAGTGGGGAGTTGTGCTGATGTTTGGGCTGATGGCAAAGCCAACCGGTGCCCGATTGGGCTTTGTAATTATTTCATAAGGCGCCTGGCTTTATTCCTGAGGATCGTTGTGGTTTTCTACAGGCAACCGGAGAAGATGCGCGCTCCCAGTTCCTCATCCCCACGGGATCCCTCGGGAGAAACCGGGCCGAGGCGTCCCTGGAGCGAGCACAGAACCTGAACCCCATGGTGGAAGTCAAGGTCAATACCGACAACATCAGGGACAAGCCAGAGGAGTTCTTCACGCAGTTTGATGCAGTGAGTATTGTGGCGTGTTTATAATCACAAGCCTTGCATTTGATATCGCGCCTTATCACATCTTCGAGACATCTCAAAGCGCTTCACAGGGTACACCGCAAAGTGAACTGACTGCATTTTGTGGGCGAAACACGGCAGCCAGTGGATCACAGCGACGTCCCCACAAACAGCCGGGGATGGAGTGACCAAATTATTATTATTTTTTGAAGGGATTATTACCCCCGGAAAAACGATCCGCCAATCGACTAACAAGCGGTTTCCTACTGACTGCCGGGGAACAGAGGCTTAATGATGAATATCACAAACATTTTGGGGACTTTGAAGGCAGAGAGTAAAGGAGAAGGGTTTGGGTGAAGAGAGAGCCCCAGAAGGTTTTAGCTGGTGTCAATTGACAAAGTCCCACTCAGCTTCACTCTCCCGGTGTCCTGGCCCACAATCCCCCCCTCCCACCCCCATCAAATAAAACGTCACTCGATCCACGACTGCTGCGCGCAACTGGCTGCCGCGTTTCGCCTGCAAAATGCCAGTCACTCCACTTTGCAGTGTATCCTGTGAAGCGCTTTTTGAGGCATCTCGACGACGGAGGGAGCGAGTCGGAGGGACTTCCGGAGAGCGGTGCGAATTTCTGCCCAAAGTAATTGGAGTTGAGGTACAGGTCAACCATGATCTAACAGAATGGTGGAACAGGCTCAAGGGGCTGAATGGCCTCCTTCTGTCCCTAAGCTCCTATGACTTAAGCTGCCTGGGTCAGTTGTGAGCTCACCGTCGTGACGGGGGCTCCACTTGATGTTGAAATTGTACTGTAATCCTCTACTGCCATCCGGCAGTGGGGAATTGCCCTTTACAGCACGTAATACGTTAAGCCCGTTCCGCCCTTCAGGATTACGGTTGTCGGCCGAGATAGAGCACATCGTACCAGTTGATGAGCCACTCTCTGGTGCTCAGTTGTCAGAATGTGGCGGCGTCGGGCAGCAATCCCGGGTGAGCTGAGCCCGGGCAGCAGACGTCATGGGTCTTCAAAGTGGATTCCTGCAGCTCAGTGGTTAGTCCGCTTGTCTCGCGAGCGAGACGACGGGTGATGGCCAAGCAAGTCAGGGCGAAATCTTACTCCTTACTCCACGCGCCTCTGTTTACCCAGCAGTAAACAGGAAACCCGCTTGGTGGATCGCTTTTCCGGGGGTAATAATCCCTTCAGATGATAGCAATTTCGTCACTCAATCCATGACTGTTTGTGGGACGCTGCTGTGCGCAATTGCCTGCCCTGTTTCACCCACAAAGTACACAGTCAATTCACTTTGCAGTATATTCTCAATGACGCGCTGTATCAAATGCAATTATTATTATAAAGTGGCCGCCCCTTGTTGTGGTTAAAAACCTCTGTCCTCGCTGGTTGGGTTAGGAGGTTTATATGGGAAAATAACTGCAGTTTGTCTGATGTAATTGGAGGATCCTGCGGTTGAGTTCTGTGCGTTGCGTGACTTGTTCTGTTGTGTATGATATGCCGTTACCGGACATGCGTTCCCTCAAGACACTGTTTTTTTTTGGGTGTGGTGAGTGGGGGTAAACACGCCACAGACTGTGCTCCAAGCTTTCGAATGGCAGCGGGTTAGCAATCTGTGGTGTCCCCGTAGTGTGGTGGTTAGCGCGCTCGCCTCGCAAGCAAGAGGACGTGTGTTCGATTCCTCCGCTCGACGGGTTCCGGCCTCCTGCTGTTCCCTCCGTTCCACCGTCGGTGGCTGCGCTTTCAGCCGCTACGCACCAAAACTCTTGTCACTTTCTCTATCCCCCCCACCCACCTTGCCCCGGTCAAAAAGGAAGGTTTTCAAGCGAGGCGGAGGGATTGAGGGAGAGCGTTCCAGAGTTTGGGTGCGTAGTGGCGGAGGGCGACCTCTTCGGCCGTGCCTACTTCCCTCTCGGCGTCGTCCTATCTCCTCCGTCAAGCGCTCCGGGGCGCTGTCCTGCGCGAGGGGATCGAGATCGGCTGAAGATTTACTGGCACTTGCTCTGCGGCTTGATATCTGCACCTTGCACTGAGCTCCCGCTGGCAGGCTTCCCATCGTGTCCTTTGGAGATTTCCGGCCATTGTGTAACCGTTCGGGCAAAGGAACCAGTCTTAGAAATGGTTGGAGACAATCAGCTGCCACTGTCAGGACTTCGGAAGAACTTTCTTTTTAACCCGTCGAGGACTGTTGCGGTGAAGGGAGCAGAAGCTTTCCCTCGGTGTCCCAGTTTGGCATCGTTTATTAATTAAGAATATGATAATGATAATAATCCTTGCATTTGATTATAGCGCCTTATCTCGTCAGCAGGACGTCTCGAAGCACATCAGAGAATATTGTGTAAACGCACAGAATGATTGTCAATAATTAAAAGGAATTATTAATAATATTATCCTTTTGATATAGTGCTTTATCACTTCTTCGTGACGTCTCAAAGCGCTTCACAGACTATACTGTAAAGTGTAGTGGCTGTATATTTGTGGGCGAAACGCGGCAGCCAATTGCGCACAGCAGCGTCCCACAAACAGTCGTGGATTGAGGGACCATATTTTTTTTGAAAGCATTATTACGGCGGGAAAGCGATCTGGAAATTATTATAGTAATTTCGCCCACAAAATGTACAGTCAATTCGCATTGCAGTATATCCCGTGTCACGTCTCATGTCAAATGCAAGGATTATTAATTATTATTATTATTATAGTGGGCCCAGTGTTGTACCAGACAGTACTGCACCCACAAGGGCATGGAGGGGAGAGGGAGCGTTAAAGACTAGTGCTTCACGTCCACTTCTCTCTGAATAAACAATTAGAGCACGGATCACGCATATTTTGCAAAGTTTGAAAGCAGTAACATCTGGTTGAGATCATCGTTACCTTAACCCAGCAACAAGCAAGCGTTCCTGCTCGTGACATTGCCGAGAACGAGACTCTGAACACAATGAGGTCTAAGATTACTTGCTGTGTTGATTGTTTTTCACCTGGGATTGTCAGCAGGTGTCTCAGGGTGAAACCGTGGGTGACTGGGTGCCTCGATCGAATTGCGTGACTCGAAGATCTGTTTGAACAGAAAATAATACCCTCGAGCCGCAGCGCAATTGCAACCTCGTGGTTCATTTCACTGTTTTAAACCCCTGGAGCCCCACTCTGGGGTGGGGGGGGGGGGGGGGAGTGGTTGATGTTATCTCACCCCCTTAATGAGAACTTGTGCCTTGTGATTGTTCTCCTTTAATTGCTTTCGCCCGCAAAAGCATACAGTCAGTTCACTTTACGGTGTATTCTGTGAAGCGCTTTGAGACGCCTCGGAGACGTGATATTTCTCTCTGATCACTGACCGTTCCTCGCTTGCGAGGCCGAGTGCTGTGGCCCGCGGGGTATTCTGTGACGTCAACAACCATCGGGTTCAGCGGAACCGACTGTCGTATTATAATAATAATAATCCTCGCATTTGATACCGCGCCTTATCATGTCTTCGAGGCGTCACAAAGCTTCACTGTAAATTGAATGGACTGTATATTTGTGGGTGAAACGCGGCAGCCGATCGCGCCGAGCAGCGTCCCACAAACAGCCATGGATTGAGTGAGCAAATTATTATATATTCTTTTGTTGGAGGGATTTTTGGCCTCCCAGAAAGCAATCCACCAATCGATTGATTACAAGCGGGTTCCGACTTCTGATAGATAAACTGAGTCGTGTGCGTGGAGCAAAGAAACTTGAGGTCTCGCCTCGCCTGGGAATTGAACCCGGGTCCTCTCGCTTGCGAGGCGAAGGCGCTAACCACTACTCTACGGGACTATATGCGCGAAGTGCGGGTACTCGAGCGCGTGCAGACACACAAACACACTGAGACCTGATATTCACATATCATTTCATATCCACAATGGGACCATTGGTGTGGATATTGGGCTCCGTACTGTATAGGAGCTTTGGTTACACTCTGTAGTTTTTAGAGTTTGGGCTTGGGGGTGGGGTGAGGTGGCGTTAGGGAGAAGGGGGTCACCTTAAAATGCTCTGAGACGCTACCCTGCATGCCGGGGCGCTACATAAATACCAGTTATTGCTGTGTGTATCTGAAACCTCTTTGTTTGATGTTGTTTCTTGTTTCAAGCTCCAATGCCACCGCTGTGTAATTAGCGCTAACTGTGTTCATTAGCTTTCATGTCTGTCTGTCTGTTTGGAGAGGTGCGGGGCAGGGCATGCAGTGCAGTGGGATTACTCTCAGTCCCACACTGTCTACGTAGCTGGCGACTTGGAACAAAACAGCAGAGGCTTGAAATTTCTAACTGAAAATGATATCTTACCCTAAGCCTATCAGCCCACGCGCCCCATCCTTAGCTGTGATAAGGCGCTGTACCAAATGCAAGGATGATTATTATTATTTCCTTCAAGCAACGGTTTGATACTAAAGCCAAACCGAAGCAGTAAAGGGTTAGCTTTGCGTACAGCATCCTGTTTACGATGCTTGTTATTTTTCATTCCAGTCTGAGCGCTAACAAGCACTCGCAATGGTGGGATTATGTTTTTCTCCCTTTGATTTACTGAAATCTTATCTGTCTTGCCCACAACGCAGGAGGATATGGGATCTTGACCCCCCATTCACACGCAGACAATGCACTGAGACAGTTAATAATCCTGTCATGTTACAGTATTGAGCGTTTTAAGACCGGCATGGCTGCTGTATTGTTAGGCAGTCAAAGATGCCTCTGTCTCAGTCGCCTTTCTCCTTCCTTGAGCGAAAGCCCAGTGGATCTTTAGTAAATGGTTTGGAGGTTCCTGTTGTGAGTGCAAAAACTTCCTGCCAGACAGAAAACCGTGGAAGCAGACAGTTAAGTCGCGTTAGCCAATGGAGCACCACAACACACGGACTGACAAATAAATCTCTCACCCGCTCTTTTGCTCGGTTAGTCTGTGAATTACACCCCAGCCTCCTGGGTCTTAATGCTTGTCAATTCCAACCTTTATAGCAATACGATAATCCTTGCATTTGGTATAGAATCATAGAATTATACAGCACAGAAGGAGGCCATTCGGCCCATCGGGTCTGTGCCGGCTCTTTGAGAAGAGCTTCCAAATCAACCCCACTCCCCCCGCTCTCTCCCCATAGCCCTGATCAACCCCACTCCCCCGCTCTCCCCCCATAGCCCTGCGAACTTGTCCTCCCCGAATAATTATCTACGTCTCTCTTAAAAATTGTTGTCGAATCAGCGTCCACCAGCCTTTCAGGCGACGCGTTCCAGATCCCAATAACGCTGTGTGTGAAAAAATGGTAAAAAAAAAAATCCCTACAAAAAATAATAATAATACTTTGGTCATTCAATCCATAACTGTTTGTGGGATACCGCTGGGATAACAGCATATTCTGTGAAGCGCTTTGAAGATGTCATCAGGCGCTATATCAAATGCAAGGATTATTATATTTATTATTATTATTATCTTTGAGATGTCTCAAAGCGCTTCACAGAATACACTGTAAACTGAATTGACTGTATTTTGTGGCAAGACTGTATTACTTACCTAATTCCGGAGAGTATTAAGCGCAGGTTGGCGAGAGCCAAGGCTTTGGTGGGGGTGGGGGGGAGCCCAGAGTGTGCGTTGGGGGTAACTGCTGGAGTCTTAACTGACTAAACCCACCCACTTGGCCACTGATATTGATATGCCACTGCATATGAGTCACAAGATCACAGCTGGGGCTGGATCGAATGTGTTCGAGGCTGTTTGGATTACACTGGTCTTGAGTATCACCCTGAGCAGTGTTCCATTACGTTTCCCAGCAGCTTCTTTGGTGACCTGGTCTTGTCACCCTTACTGATAGGCCGTACCCAATGCCGGGCTGTGCCCTGTGTAAGAATAATTACCTGACCATCCAGCGTTCATTGGCCCTTCAGCACAGCACCAGAATGACTCCACTTTACGGTGTATCCTGGGAAGCACTTGACGTGATGAAGCTCTGTATCAACTGCCATAATTATTATTATGTCAGTGTGTCAGCTTGCATTAGGAGCTCAATTTCAGGGGTTTGAGGCGGGAGTGAGTTGGCTTTGAGCGAACTGAGGTCTATCTAATGATGAGATATTCTTACCCAGGCCCTTAAAAACCCACAAAGCACAGACACCCAGTCACGTCCCATTACAGTGTATCCTGTGGAGCACTTTGAGGCGTCTCAGTAATGTGATAAAGGTGCGACATCAAATGCAGGGATGATTATTATGATCAGTTTGCCAAGTTGCCACGTAAATAATACTACTAATAATAATCCTGGCATTTGATACAGTGCCTTAGCAGGTCAAAGCACTTCACAGAGTACATTGTAAAGTGAATTGACTGTATAGTTTATGGGTGAAACTCACGCAGCACCGCACACAGCAGTGTCCCATAAACAGCCGTGGATTGAGGTACCACTTTTTTTCGGGGGGCATTTTAAAATAAGGTTTTATTTTGTAAGACAAGCAGCTCCGATCCTAATCTGTAATGCATTAGAATTCCTGCACCACTGAATCATTAATGTGAACCTGTATAATATACTGATGCCAAATTCATAGTCAAAGAGGATAACTTCCTTTGTATGATTTGTACGGTTCATTAATTATTAGAGATTAGATATCACTTGTAAGCTCTGTACTCTGTTCCAGCTGTTTCCATAATAATAATAATCCTTGCATTTGGTACAGTGCCTTATCACGTCGTTAAGATGTCTCAAAGCGCTTCACAGAATATATTGTAATGTGGAGTGACTGTGTATTTTGTGGGCAAAATGCTGAAGCCAATTACGACAGCAATATCCCAAACAGTCGTGGAGTGAGTGACCAGTTTCTTGGGGTTTTTTTTTTTTGGTGGGATTATTACCCCTGGAAAAGCGATCCACCAAAGCTAGGTGAACAGGGGCGCGTGGAGTAAGGAAACTGGAGTAAGCTTTTGCCCTGCCAGGAAACAAAAGTCCTCTCGCTTGCCAGGCGAGTGCTCTGACTGCTACACTAAGGGATGCTAAGATCTAAAGCATGCTCATTTCTGTCAGGGTATGTTGGACTGTTCTCAGTCTCTGTTTGTTCCCCCCGGTTTTATTGATTTGAACTAAAAATACAATTAAATAGGGGGCCGAATACAGCATGTGTATCACAGTCCTGTGGCTTGTACAACAGCAGAGCTGTGCTGTGCTCGAAACTGTGAGCTTTCGGATTTCTCACTGACAAATTGTTGAAAGAGTTCCCTGGGTTGAAAATCATTCTTCCACAGCACAGCCCTTCCTTTGTTTCTGAAGCTATCCCACGGCTTGGTTTGGAAATCCCCACTCCAATAAACGGACTGATCTTACACTAAGCGACTACTAAAACAATAAACCCGACTGCAGCCACGTGAGTTCAGACCCGCAGAAGAAAAGATGTTGGCGGGAGCCAAATAGTACGTAGGGCAGGACGGAAGCCATACTGTGATGGAGGTGGAGGAAGGGGGTCCTGGTCAGATACCGGGTGGGGGCGGAGGAAGGACAATTGGGGATTGAACCTGATGTCTAGGTTTACCCACAGGGTCGCTAAGTCTTGGGGATGGAGGTGTTTTGATGTCATGGATTTGGGTTTGTTTCCCAGGTGTGTCTGACCTGCTGTGCCCGTGATGTGATGGTCAGAATCGATCACCTCTGCCACACTCACAACATCAAGTTCTTCGCTGGCGACGTCTTCGGTTACATTGGCTACATGTTCGCCGACTTGGGAGAGCACGAGTTTGTGGAGTAAGTTCACGGGTGTTTAACCCGGAAATCGATGCATGTACCAATGGCCGGCTGCCTAAACAGCCTGTCCCTTCGCCCGCAAGATACACACAGTCACTACACTTTACACCGTATCCGGTAAAGCCCTTTGAGCTGTCCAGGACTGTTTGTGGGACACGACAGTGCGCAATTGGCTGCTGCGTTTTGCTCACGAATTACAGTCAATTCGCTTTACAGTGTAGTCTGTGAAGCGCTTTGAGATGTCGACGTCTCAACGACGTGATCAGGCGCCGTATCAAACTCAAGGATTATGATTACTATTATTTCTGATTATTATCTCTTGCGGTTTTGATCAGAGAGAAGCCGAAGGTGGTAAAGGTTGGACAAGGAGACGAGGACGGGCCCCAAGCTAAGAAGGTCAAGATTGATCCTAATGAGACGACCATGGTTAAGAAGGTAATGGCAGACTATTGACATCACACTGCAGTGTGGACGGAGTGTGAATGAGACAGACAGTGTAGAGGGATATGTTTGTACACGTGTTTGTTCTCTTGCTTTTAATACCTTGGATTACTTAACACTGACTGCAATACTGAAATTGAAAGCGTGTCACACTTCCTTCTCTTCGCCTCTCTTCCCGCGGCTCTGGTAAATACCCTAAGGTTTCCGTATTAGTGTAAAGGGTCGGCTGGTCCCTCGTGCTTTCTGTTCCACCATCAGTGGCCGAGCCTTTGAATCACTTCGCCCTGAAACTCTGCCACTCTCTCCCTCCGCCTCGCCCCCTTCCTTCCCCGTCTTCGGCTCGCGGCCGAAAGACCTTCGTGAGTGAGGGTCGTCGTTTTTATCGGGTGGGGATGTCTCAAAGAGCTTCACGGGATTTTAGTCGAATGGCGCAGCCATTTATATCAGTTATTCACTTGGTGGCTGTTTGTGGGACGTCGCTCCGAGGAATCCTCCCGACGTGAAAGGTGGTGGATCAAACGTAGGAAGGAGTCTTTATTTCTAAGAGTGGCCATTGTTCATCAGAAGCAGTGAGCTGCCGAGCAAGCGGTCTCTTTAGTGATGCTCACTGAGCCCATTGTCCCCAGAGCTTTTGGTCGTAAAGAGGAGTTAAGGGGGAAAAGTCCCTACTTTTTGTGTGCGTTTCTTTTGATGCCTTGAGGGCAACAGATCAGGCCAGGAAGCTAACAGGCTTTGTCAAGAAAGCTTAATAGATGGACTTTGGAAATTCCCTAGCATTGACCACCCTCTCTCCCCCCTCCCCCCCACTCTCCTGTGCTTTCAACTGCCTCGGATTTGCTAACATAATGATTTAATGATTTGGAGCCCTGTAGCTCAGGGGGTTAGTGCACTTGCATCGCAAGCGAGAGACCTGGGTTTGATTCCGGGCTGGACGAAACGTTGGGCAAGTTTCCTTACTCCACACGCCTCTGTTTCCCTAGTAATAAGTAGGAACCCGGTTGTTAGCCGATTGGCGGATCGCTTTTCCGGGGATAATAATAATAAATTGGTCGATCCAATCTACGACTGTTTGTGGGGAGGCTGCGGTGCGCAATTGGCTGCCGCGTTTCGCCCACGAAATATACAGTCAATTCACTGCAGTGTGTCCTGTGAAGCCCTTTGGGACGTCTCGAAGACGTGATAAGGTGCTGTGTCAAATGCGAGGATTATTATTATTTACTTGCTGCTTTGCAACAGAAATGTCATGTTACAGCATTTCCCACAGGGTCTTACAATGTCAAAATATTTCACGGGGCTTCACAAAGTCTGTCGTGAAGTGTAGTGACTGTGTATCTTGCAGGTGAGCCAATTTGGGCACAGGAGTGGCCCACGTACAAGTCGTGGATCCAGTGACCAAATTTTCTTGTGGATAAGATCAGCCATTCCCTCCACAGGCAATTTGTGGTCAGCTGCGGCCCACAAACAAGCCTTGCAGCGTGACCAGTTTTATCTGGGGGATTGCCGGTCAGGGGACTCCCTCCTCTTTTCCGATGGGATCTTGAACAGGGAGTTAGGAGCTCAGTTTAATATAGAATCATAGAATTATACAGCACAGAAGGAGGCCATTCGGCCCATCGTGTCTGTGCCGGCTCTTTGAAAAGAGCTTCCAATTCAATCCCACTCCCCCGCGCTCTCCCCATAGCCCTAATCAACCCCTCTCCCCCGGTTTCTCCCCATAGCCCTACGAACTTGTCCTCCCCATCTGAAGGACGGCACCTCTTAATGATATAGAGTTCCCCCTTCAGTGGAGTGCTGACACACACTGAGCTCCGAGGCCTAATGTGGGGCTTGAAGTTCTTTTGATTGCTAATAGTAATGCCGTCCAACTGCCATGAAAGGCTAATTTGTTGCTTTGATAATCCTTGCGTTTGATTCAGCGCCTCATCACGTCGTTGAGACATGATACGGCACTAAATCTCAAGGCTCTTCATAGAATGTACTATAAAGGGCAGTGACTGTATTTTGTGGATGATGAGACGCGGCAGCCAATTGCGCCCAGCAGCGTCCCCCACAAACAGTCGTGGATCGAGTGACCTATTTGATTTTTTTTTTAAGGGATTGTTATTCCTGGCAAAGCCATGTGCCAATCGACTAACAACTGGGTTCTACTTGCTGCTGGGTAAACAGAGGCATGTGTGTGTGTGTCTGAGTGTGCGTGTGTGGTATGAGGAAACTTGCCTAAGGTTTTGTCCTGACCTGACCCGCCTGGGAATCGAACCTGGCTCCTCTCGTTTGCGAGGCGAGGGCTCTAAACCACTGCGCTACATGACTCCCCTTCAGCTGTTTCCCTGTTGGGAGGTGGGTTGAGGGGTTGTCGGAGTGTGACTAGATTTCGGGAGGGGTGGGCGGGCGAGGGAGTTTACGCAGAGAGTCGTGTAAAGTTCCCCTTTGTAGACATTTTTGTGCTTTCCTTTTTTTTTTGGCGACCCGCTCGCTCACTTACACAGGCACAGACGCTGCTGTGTTTCACACTCACTCCTGAAGGTGGTGCTCTCAATTAGCCCCAGGAGCTAACCCCAGGCAGAGCATCGCAGCTAAGTCCTCCCTCTATCTGCTGTCTTGTGTGCTTTCCTTGCAAGCGAGAGGACCCGGGTTCGATTCCCGGGCAGCGCAAAACCTTAGGCAAGTTTCCTAACTCCGCGCGCACGCCTCTGTTTACCTATCAGCATGTACGGACCCACATGTTAGTCGACCCGCGGATCGCTTTTCCAGGGAATAATAATTCCTTCAAAAAAAGGAATAATAATTTGGTCACTCAATCCACGACTGTTTGTGGGACGCTGCTGTGCGCAATTGGCTGCTGCGTTTCACCCACAAAATATATAGTCAGTCCACTTTACAGTATAATCTGTGAAGCGCTTTGAGACTTCTCAACGATGTGAGAAGGCGCTATATCAAATGCCAGGATTATTATTATTATTATTTGTTCTCTTTGTCTCATTGGTGTCCAGAGAGAGATAGTTTGGTACAGAGGATAGTAATAGTCTCTGCATTTGATATAGCGCCTTCTCACATCGTTGAGATGTCTCAAAGCGCTTCACAGATTACCCCCGGGCAGGGGCATTAGGCAAGTTTCCTTACTCCACTCACACGCCTCTGTTTACCTAGCAGTAAGTAGGAACCCAGGTGCTAGTCGACTGGGGGATCACTTTCCAGGGGGTAATAATTCTGTCAAAAAAATAATCAATTAGTTAGTTAATTAATGAATCATTTAATTAATAATTTGGTCATGTAATCCACGGTTGTTTGTGGGACGCTCCTGTGCGCAATAGACTGCCGCGTTTCGCCCACAAAATATACAGTCACCGCACTTTACCGTAAATCTGTGAAGCGCTTTGAGACGTCTCAGCGATGTGATAAGGCGCTGTATCGACGGCAAGGATGATGATTGTTATTATTAATCCTTGCATTTGATGGAGCGCCTTATCACGTTGTTGAGACGTCTGAAAGCGCCTCACAGGATACACTGCAAAGTTTTGAGTCTGTCGCTGTTACTGGGGTACTGCCGGCCGCAGTCTCACAAATATCTGCTCGAAGAAGTGTACGTTTTCACTTCGAACAGGGTTTGTCTCTTAAGTTTAAGATTGTCCCTTGCAGTGCGGAGTGGAATGTCTTGTGGTCTCAGCGTGAAGCCCATCATTAGGTGTGTCCACAGGTGGCTAAATTTTCCAGGAAATGTGGTTTCTGTGGAGTGTTGTCTTTCACAGAAGTGTGAGCTGCTTATCAGAGCATCTAGAAAACAGCCAGTATCCTCCTTCCAACAATCGACTTCATTTCAGTTTGTGTCTTCTGAGCCGAGCCTCTTGACTTTGTTTATTTGGAACCGAGTTTAAGAAAATGGTGCATTGTTCACACCACGAGATATATCACAATAGTCACTATACACTACCATCCACGTGCCCGCTGAGAGATCACAGGGCTGACATGTCAGTTTAAAGAGAATACTACTACTACTAATAATAATCCTTGCATTTGATGCAGCGCCTCATCACGTCCTCGAGACGTCTCAAGGCACTTCACAGAATATTCTTCACTCAGGGAATTTATGGGATTCGCTCCCCAGAAGGCTGTAGATGCTATTATTATCTTCAAGGCTGAGACTGATAGATTTTTACAAAATAGAGGGATGAGGGGATATGGGGATAGGGCAGGTCTGAAGACCAGCCATGATCTTATCGAATGGCAGGGCACAGGCTCGAGGGGCCGAATGCCCGACTCCTGCTCCTAATTCTTATGTTCTTATGTAATATACGGTAAAGTGAATTGACTGTGTATTTTGTGGGCGAAACGTAGCAGTTAATTGCACAAACAGTCCTGGAGTGAGTGAGCTAATTTCTAGATCTTTTATTTCTTTTTGTAAATAATGCTGCAGGGGTATCCTCCGCCTGTGGCTGAGGCAGGATCCATATCGTGCTTTCAAACGATAAATAGCTCAAAGGGAGTCAGGTACAAGGGTGTGGGGAGAAAGGGAAGGTCAGTGAGACTGAAAGGATTGCTCTTAAAGGAGCCAGCACCGGCCCAGTGGGCTGAATGGCCTTCTATATTGCACTCCCCGTGTGAGTGGTGTTGTTGTTGCTGAACATTTCTCGGGCAAAACGTTGTTCGAGTTTCCTTCCTCGACACACGCACCTCCGTTTACCCAGCAGTAAGATGTTCGTCGATTGCCGGATCTCTTTCCGGGGGTAATAACCCCTTCAAAAAGAAAATAATTATAATTTTGGTCACTCGATCCACGGCTGTTTGTGAGGACACTGCTGAGCGCAATTGGCTGCTGTGTTTCTCCCCCAAACTACACAGTCACTCCGCTTTACAGTATCTCCTGTGAAGCGCTTTCAGACGTCTCGAAGACCTGACAAGGCACTGTATCAAATGCAGGATTATTATTGTTGTCATCATCATTTTAGGAATTAATTTCCTGCTTTTTTCTCACCCCCCCTCTCTCCGCCCTCTCTGTCTCTCGTCAGACGGTGAAGTTTTGCCGGCTGAAGGATGCCCTGGAAGTGGATTGGAGAGGCGAGAAGGCAAAGGCAGCTCTGAAGAGAACGTCTAGCGACTACTTTCTGCTGCAAGGTAACCTGAAACACTCCTTGGCAGGTCGTTGGAGCTGAACGCATCGTGTAATGGTCAGAGCACTCGCCTTGCAAGTGAAAGGACGTGGGTTCGATTCCCAGGTCAGGGCAAAACTTTGGGCAAGTTTCCTTACTCCATACACACACGCACACACACACACACACACACACACGCACACACAGACACGCGTGCCCCTCTGTTTATCTGCAAAGTACACCGTCACCTACGCTTCACAGTATATTCTGTGAAGCGCTTTGAGACGTCTCAACGACTTGATAAGGTTCTTTCTCCCACACATCCGTGCCATGACCCACTCTGCCTTCCCCCACCTCCGCAACATCGCCCGACTCCGCCACTGCCTCACCCCTCAGGCCGATGAAACCCTCATACGCGTCTTCGTTACGTCCAGGCTCTGCTATGCCAACTCCTCCCTCCATTGGCTGCAGATCATTCAGAACTCTGCAGCCCCTGTCCTCTCCCGCACCGGGCTCTGTGACCCTAACTATCACCCCCATTCTCGCCCGACTCCACTGTCTCCCCATCACACAGAGGATACAGTTCAAGATCCTGGTCCTCACCTTCAAAGCCCTCCATAGCTTCGCTCCCCCCGACCTCTGCCACTCGTAACCCCCTACCACCCTGCCCGCTCCCTCCGCTCAGCGGGCTCCGGCCTGCTTCACACCTCCCCCCCCCCCCCCCCCGCTTCGCTCGCCCCACCATTTGCGGGCGGGTCTTCCAACTGTTTTCCAGAATCTTGTACAGGTGTACCGTGTGACACACGCATGCAGTTGTGTGTGGGTGCAAATGCGTGTCAGTAATTGAGAAATTTATTCGGAGAAAAGCCAGATTTAGTTGACAAGAGCGGGCGCCACACCCTCGACTGCATCGCTTGGAGGCTGAGCGTGTGTTAGGGAGTCGGTGTGTGTCTGGCCTGTTCCCAACGATCAGTTTGCACGTTTGGGTGTGAATTTGTAGTAATACAAGGATGTCAATACTCCTGACTCAGTCAATCAGGGCCTGAAGTTATGCAACAAATAAGACACGGTTTGGGAGATTTGACTCTTCTTTTGTACGTTATGAAACTGAGTGGGAGGAGATGCTCTGAGCGATAGGATTGTGAAAAGGCTTTTGACCTGGGCTGTGTGTAGCCGAGTGTGGAGCAAGTGGAGGGGGGGAGATGGGGGGAGAGAGTCCCACCACTTTTCTGTCCTGTCCTAAACTCCTAAAGCCAAAGAACTGTCTGTCTCGCTCGCTCGCTCTCTCCCCCCCGCCTTGGTCTGTATGTCACTGAGTACACGAACAGCCAACTCCCAGCGCTGTGTCAAACTGAGGTTTCCTGTTATAACACAGTATTTTGAGTCGCGATCGCCAGTTCATAATAATAATAATAGTAACGATAATCTTTGCACCCGGTACAGCAGTCGAATCACATCGTTGAGACGTCTCGAATCCCCGACTGTCCCGCCAGCGCCTTGGCACGTCCTCCTCACGCGAAAGGCGCTATACAAATATTGTTCTCTCTTCGAGACGTCTCAAAGCGCTTCACAGAATGTACTATGAAACAAATCGACTGTGCAGTTTTGTGGGCCGAACGCGGCAGCCAATTGCACACAGCAGCGTCCCACAAACAGTCGTGGATTGAAACGGCCAAATTATTATTATTTTTGAGGGATTATTATTACCCCTGGAAAGCGATCCGCGAATCGACTAACCATCAGGTCCCAGCTTACTGCTAGGTAAACAGGCGTGCGCGTCTGCGTGTCTGTGGAGTAAGGAAACTTGCCCAAGTTTCCCCCTGACCCGCCTGGGAATCAAACCCCAGTCCTCTCGCTTGCGAGGCGAGTGCTATTTAGCCGCTGAGCTCCAGGGACCCCACTCCCTTGTCAGTTGTTGTTGTGTATACGATTTCTGAAACGCCTTTTGGGTGGGTCGGGAGGCCGTCTCGGAGCGCGTCCCGGCTTTACTGAAACGCATAATAATAATGATATAATAATAATTAACCAACAACATTCCTTGCATTTGATATTAGGCCTTATCACTTCTTCGAGACGTCTCAAGACGCTTCACAGGACGTGCTGTAAAGTGTAGTGACTGTATTGTACGGGCGTTCAACTGGAACAGGTTAGGGGCTAAACCTCGACACCCTTTGGGCTGACGTTCGTGACCTTGGTTTTATAGCTGAGAAATTTCACTTTTTACTTGTGTCTTCCTAATGCAATAATTCTCTTCTCTTACCCCACCCCCCCGCTCCCCCTCCCCCTCCCCCCTCCCCCTCCCCCCCCACCCGCCTGACCAAGACACGCAATATTTTGTCTGTGCTCAGTTTTATTTTCAGTTCAGACTGGGTGTGATTTGATTATAAATAGCCGAAGCCAGCTTCCTGCTGCAGTGATCAGATTTTCCATTGTCCGTGCTGTTCGGTCGTTCAGCGTTGCTGAGGCTGTGCAAGTTGTCCTGCCATTCCACCTGCTTTATTTACCTCAGTCAGTCACCGCTTCCCCTCGTTCACGCGCTTTTACGTCTCTTCACCGTCCATTTGCCTAAACGCCGCTTGCGCTGAAAGTACGGCGCGGAAGCTTTACCGAAACAACAGCAATAATAATAATAATTTGGTCGCTCAATCCACGACTGTTTGTGGGGACGTCGCCGGGCGCAATTGGCTGGCCATGTTTTGCCCACAAAGCACACAGTCACTACACTTTACAGTGTTTCCTGTGAAGCGCTTTGAAAACATGATAAGGTGCTGTATGAAATGCAAAGCATTATTATTATTATTAAAAAATGTTGTGTAGGCCTGTGTGTGAGTGTATGTGAATGTGTGTGTGAGTGAGGTGTGTGTGTAAGAGTGTGTGGGTGTGTTTTTCAATAAGCCTTTTATTTTTACACAATTTACGCACGATTTACTCTTCTATAATCCACCGATGAAGTGATCATTGAGGTATAACATCTGTCTGTTCAGGTGTGTGAAGCACTTTGAGACGTCTCAACAATGTGATAAGGTGCTATAATAATAATAATAAGAAGAAGAATCTTTGCATTTGACACAGTGCCTTATCGTCTTGGGACGTCCTCCCGATGTGAAAGGCGCTATACAAATGTAATACTGTTGTTGTTGTTGTTATATTGCGTCTTCGATACGTTTCAAAGCGCTTCACAGGATACACTGCAACCGTGAATTAACAGTATATTTCGTGGGCGAAACGCGGCAGACAGACGAGTGACCAGTTCTTTATGCGTGCGGAAGGACTTATTTACCTTGGAAAGCGATACGCCAATCAACTAACAAGTAGGTTCCTGCTGACTGCTGGTAACCAGAGGCGCTCGTGTGTGTGTGTATGAGTGTGTGAGTGTGTGGGGCGTAAGGAAACTTGCCTAAGGGTTTGCCCTGACCTCCCCGGGAATCGAACCTGGGCCCTCTGGCTTGCGAGGCGAGGGCTCTAACCACTGAGCTACAGGGAGAGACTCCGCACTAGTAAAGCCAAGACGCTTAATTCCAGTTCGAAGTGTCCGTCCAGTGCAAGGCGAGTGTTGTGCAGTTCATTAGATTTGAGTTATTTTCAGTGCAGTGATGTTGGCAGACTCCGGTCCGAGTAGATTTAACAATGGCTCAGTGACGGTCAACGTAACACTTGCCCCAGACATGTGAGGCAGAAAAGCAGTCATGATCGAGGCGATGGATAGGCGCACGGCAGCCCAGATGGACTAACTATTGAAAGAGACTGTGTGTCCTCGTGTGGTCAGCAGCAAAACGTTGGCTGGGAGCCGAGGTCTTTTTGTGCAAGACTTGCATTGTGCGAGAAGGCTGTGGCTTTGTGCTAATGTGCCTCCGAATCTCTAGACTGCTATAAAACACCCTTCAAAAACCCGTACCAAGATGAGCAGCACAAGACGGACATTATTGACTCTTCTAAATAGGTCCTTTCTGAGAAATTGAGCGGAAAACAGTGTGCGTTGTGTATCTGAAGTTCTGCAATAATAATGATCCTCGCATTTGATACAGCGCCGCATCACGCTGTCGGGACGTCTCAAAGCGCTTCACGGGAATATACTGTAAAGTGTAGTGGCTGTGTGCTTTGTCGGCGAAACGGGGCTGTATTTTGAGAAGCTGCATTTCCCTGTGTGTGTGTGTGTGTGTGTGTGTGTGTGTGCGCGTGTCTGTATCTGTGTGTGACTGTGCGCATGTCTGTGCTGTATGTGTATGTCTGTCTGTCTGTGTGGATGTGTGTGTGTATGTCTGTATCTATGTGTATCTGTGTGTGGTGTGTGTGTGTATAAGCTGTCTTGTGGAAAAAGCCGTGGGTGTTGCAGTTTAAGCACGAGGGCTCGCGTACGCACGGCGATCGCAGGAAGTCAAAGCTTGGTTAGATGATGTAACTAGGAAGTCGGTGGGGCAGAGAGGTGGCGTGATTGGCATCTACACAAACACAGCCCCTGCTGCCACGTGCTATTGTTCCATGATGCCGTCCCTTAACCCTGTAAGCCCCGGCTTGTTTTTGCACCGCTCTGCACAGTGTAAAGTGCAGGGTTCAGTGGAAAGTATGTAAGAGACAGGTCGAACTTTGAAGATAGTGCATCCACGCCATAGGGCAGGTATTTGAGGAAAGTGCAACGTTTTGCAAAGTAAAATACAACCGACTTGACTTTGATTCCAGCCCCTACTCACTGCCCAACCGTGGATACACATCTCACTTGACTTTTTAAAAGAAAATATCAAACTGTACGCATAATCTCGTCAGTCTGTCCTCTTGGCCTGCTTCCCCGGAAAGTGAGACGTTCAGAGCGCGACTTTTAAACGTGCAAACCGTTGCTATGTTCGCTCAGCGACGGGCGGAGTTCACGAGCGATATTCGTTTTCCATCCGGAGGGGCGTCTTCTGGAAGCATTTCGCTTCCTGTCAGTTATTGCCAGATATCAAATAATAAATGAGTAATAATCCTTGCGCTTGATGCAGCGCCCCATCAGGTCGTTGAGACGTCTCAAAGCGCTTCGCAAGATACACGGTAAAGCGGAGTGACTGTATATTTTGTGGGTGAAACGTGGCAGCCATTCTGCG